AAAGATTTACAGCTAATTTTGTAAGGCGCTCTGTCCTTATGCTCAAAGATATTAGGAAGTTTCTAGAAAACACCACTTAATCTGTGCAAACTGAAGAGATGTATTTAAAAAAAAACCCAAGAAAACCACAAAACCAATGCGAAGGGCTTTTTAAAATACCAAAACTCACCAGCAACTCAATACAGCTACAAAACTGTGCCAGTAAAAGCAACATTTTTCAAAAATGTATTTAACAAGCAAGTTTATTTTTGTTTTTCTCATGACTTAGGATTCATTTATTGCTCAAAGCATTATTTCTAACGCAGCAATTGCTTTGGTAGCACAGGTCTTACAGTGCCACCTTCTGTTCATGTCTCCCACTAAAGCAATCAGCTCTAAGCAGCAAATAGTTTACACATGTAAACTGGGTTTAATTAATGAAATGAGTGTTAAAGCTATGTGAAAACCAGGATCACAGAGTATTATTTCTCTGTCAAGTATGTCAGAGTTTCTGTAGCTGGAAAACACAAAATTTCAGCCAGACAGCATCTTAAAATGGCATTAGATAACTACAAAATATCCCCTCTTCCAGCTCTTAACAATCTCAGCTTGTACCAGGTCACTAGTTTAAGAATCAGTTTTGTTCTATATCCTTCAGCCAAACCTCAACAGCACCAATGATTTAGAAACACATATTGACACTGAAAAATTTAGTTAAAATGTTACACTGGAAAGGAATATGCAGGAATCTAAGTGAAAACTGAAAGCTGTCTTTACCAAGAAGACCATGAATGAAACCCAAGAGCATCACCATACTATTTTTCTCCCACTTGCTCACAGTAAGGTATGAAAAGCATTCCTTATGAATTAACAGCATTTAGTGTCCATCTGCATTTGTTTAATTAACTTAAAGCAGAATGTTAACTAGATGGAGACTTTGTCTTGGTCAGGTACCTATTTCAAGTAATGCGCAAACATTCTGCAAAATTAGATGCCCAACACTTATCTTTCTGGGGAAAGCAAGATCTGACATAATTCTGTAAACACATTAAGACTTTGGGGTTTTTTCTGCTCGTCCACTATACAGCAAAGAACAGTATTTGTATGCTACCCCTACTGCCAAGATTACGGTAGTATCAAAGGAAAGCAAGGAACTGTGTAACTTTCGTCTTACCACATCCAAACAGAATTAAATGCCTAACCTGGCTAGGAGTTAGCAACATACTAACCTTAGGTCCATAGAAAGCTCCATCACCAGGGTTTAACTCCCACTTCTCACCAAAGTCATTGAGGCTGTTTTCTAGTTGCTAGAGATAAAGGACACACAGACTTAGTGTTTCTCAACCATTCACTGTCTTTCCATGTTACAGCATCATGTCAGCCTGCTGCTACAAATACGTGACACTATCAAATTCTCAGTACTTCTCAGTTACTGCTGCCACTCACTTATTTTCTGAAAAAGGAAAGTTTTGGAAGAGCCCCAGCTAAAAAAAAAAAAAAAAAAAGTCTAAATTTAAACAATCAAAATTAATGCACTCATTTTGGAAGAAGCCAAACAAGCAGAATTAGCTAAGATGCAAGACCTTTTTATGCTAGATTCAAAGTTTGTAGGTAATATTGAGAGGGGATCCACCCTGATACACCTAATATCAATTCCTGCCCTGTCTTCTCCCAAGCACTGCACCTGCAGGAGCTAACCTTTCATCATGAAAGCAACCTCGCTTTTGGAATTGGTTCTCTTCCTTTTTCTTTTTTTTTTTTTTAATTATCAAAAAAATACAAGGAAAGAGAGAGAAAGAGGTAATTTGATTATGACATGGAGATTGTTTCTGTATGGAGAGTAAGCTATTTACAGCAGCCAGACTGAATTGAATACAGTTATCAAAGTTATATTGCTCATGTCCAGCTGTCACTGTACCGCCCAGAAGGCAATATGTTCTTACAGAACTTCTAGCTGCAGCCTTGCTTTCATATAAAAAATTAATAAGACTACTGTTTACCTTTTCGGCTTGATTCCACACTTCAATATTTCCCAGATATTTTTCAGGACGAGTGGAGAGATTCAATTTAAAGGAAAATCCAAAGACATCATACACAGAACGCAAGAACTGCAGACAACTCTTTATCTCCTCTTCAATCTTTATGAGAAAAGAAATAAAGTCTCAAATATGAAAAAAATCAGTTAATCTGATTTTAATACCCAATTTCATTTAGCAGCAACATATACCTGCTCCATAGCACAGAATATGTGAGCATCATCCTGCTGGAATCGGCGTACTCGAGTGAGTCCTGTAAGAGCTCCTGACAGTTCATTGCGATGCAGAACACCAAAATCAGCCAACCGTAAAGGCAGCTCACGCCATGATCTTGGACGATGATCAAACATAAGGCTGAAGGAAAAATTTATTACTTGAAGGTCATCCAAAATCAAAATTCTGCAAAGTACAGCCAATGAGAAGCAGCCAGTACTTAAGCAGATGCCCGTAACGTCAATGATGTAATCTGAATACAACCATCATTCACATGTAGTTTTGTCAGGAAAACAAATGCAGATAACCTTTTACCGCTGGTAGGCTTCCCCCACCTCACAGAGAAGATAAAACAGCTCCTAAAACTGAGCATTAAAGCCTGAATGCCTACATTGCCACAAAGTGACAATGCCCCAGTATCTATTTTAGGTATCCAGGTTTTGTACTACCAATGTAAGCTTCAGGTCTAAAACACAGTCACTGTAATGCTGGAAAAGTGACATTTCTCAGTATCTCCAGTAAAGACAGCACGTAGGCCATAAGACTCATAGTTACATCACTCCTGACAGCATGACACATCTGGGTACCTGAAGATAGCCGTCTTTGCAATTAAGGAGGCAAAAGAAACAGGATTTGTTGGTTTTTTTTGAATCGGCATCATCTTTGGTAAACTGGATTTGCTATGTATTTACCAGTGTCCTGGACAGTTCATAGGCTTCAGAGCAAAGATTTCTTTCTCCACTTCAAAGGAAAACATGTTGTCGCTGTAATGCTGCCAGTGCCCTGAAGTCATCCATAGTTTGCTGTTGAAAACATTTGGAGTGACAACCTCCTGGAATCCACGTTTTCGATACTCACTCTAGAACAACAGACCCAGTATGTACAATAACTAATAAAGCAAACAAAAGTAATGGTACTCATCCTTCAATCTGCAGCCATAAAAATATACAAATGCTGCCCTACAAAAGTCGGAGGAGGAAAATTCAAGTCGGACATGCCAGGATACATCCCTTCCACCAGCACCACCCTTCCCCAAACAATTCCTCCACAGTAAGCAAGAAGAACAAGTTTCCTCCCTGCAAGCAAAGCAGCAGTCTCTAATTATTCAATGACGCTTGGTAGAACATTGCAGCCCAAATATACAATAATAAGACAGACTTTAAATATTACAACAGGAAGATTAGGATTTTTTTCCGACACATAATTTCATAACAAATAGTTCTACACGGCCAAATTTAGTAAGTTTATTAAAACAAATCAATATGCATCAGTGGAACAGCCGTAGTGTATGCTTAACTGTACCATTAAATGTCAATGAATTCATATTATAAAGCATCCTTATCACTGCTTTAACTGCAGGTATAAAGTATTGATAAACACGTAACTTAGCAGAGATTGTGACAAGACCAATTCAAAGAAACTAGGTTACTTTAGTTCCATGGCTTACAGAACTAAGAGATTAAACTAACTTAAATGAAAGGCTGTTAATACTGTTATATGTAGCATGCTGTTACATATTTGTCTAAAATTAAGCAATTTCTTCCATAAGAAGATTTCCAAAAGACATTACTTACCCGTATGAATTCAATTAATGTGTTATAAATGTAAGCTCCTTTTGGCAGGAAAAAACAGCTACCAGGGCTGAGCTCATGAAAGAAAAATAGTTCTTGGTCCTGCAGAAAAACAGTATTTAAAAACTCAGTATTTGTACACCACCTTCTTCATCTAACATTCACACATGAATTACTACTGACTGTGCATCACTAATCAAAGTTATTAAAAAACCCAAATAAACAAAAAGAAAAAAAAAAGGCGATACCAATAGACCAGATGTATTTTCACTAGTATTTCTATCTCCATCACTATTTATAGGGGAAGGAGATTGTTCAGTTTCCTGTTTCATTACTGATGCTCCAAAACTTCACGTTTATGTGTAACAACTAACTGTGCCCCCACAGCTCCCTTTGTACGTTGACAAGTAATGATTAGTTCCCCTTCAGCAGCTCCCTCATTATTTGCACGTGAACTGAATGCGTGAACTGTAGTTGCCCAATGTGACAAACTGTGCATATGCTTGAGGACTGCATATAGTGAATTCTTCTGTATATTTTTCTGATGTCCTAGCAGTAGACCTAGTAACAGTATTCAGGACTATCAATTATCTGACAGGGGTTTCCATTTAAAAAAACAAAACTGAAAACCAACCAAAAAACCATAGAAATGTATTATAGATTCTGAAATTCTGAGAGTGAACAGGCTGCAGCAAACTGTGTAGGAATGAGCATTGCCTGCAGTGTTCATGTTTTGCAGACCGAAGTGTTAATGTTCTGTTCTTATAGATCTGTGGAATAAGGATGTCATCATGTTTAAAACAGTGAAAAGTCCAAAGAGAAGTTATTTGCTTTACGACTTTTGATGCTCTTCAAGAGAAAAGTATCTGACTTTGCAACTAGACTGAAAATACAGTTGTGGCACATCTTGGTTGTGGCAGCAAGTATACTCTATCTTCAAGATGCTTCCAGTTAAGGGGTTACATCCACATAGTGTTTGTGAAACACATTACCAGAAAAACTCTCTCACCCGCCCAATTTTTCTGTGATCTCTGCTTTTAGCCTCCTCCTGGAATTTCTCCCATTCCTTCAGCATTTTTGCATCTGGGAATGAAATTCCATAGATCCGCTGGAGGGATTCCATATCAGCCTTGCCTTCCCAATAGGTAGAAGAATTCTGCATGTAAAAAATATATGAAACATTGAAGAACAGGAGAAACCTCCACATTTTACTACTAATGCCTACTATGAAAAGACATGCAATTATTAATAAATTATTGTACTTAATGTAGAACAACTAAGGCATAAGGAGAGTTTTAATCTTAAATTCAGAGCACTGATTAAAAAAAATCCAGAAAGAACAGGTGAACAGAGTATGTAAAAAAGGTTTCAAGCTCTCTCGTCATTTTTTTAATGCTATTTGCTCTCTTTGTAGCCATCCTATTCCAACTGATTATTCACACTCAGCTATAACCATCAGCTGAGCAAAAACTACGAACTCTAACTGACGCAGTTCAACGAAGCCTGAAGCCACATTCACATTCCCATCTGTGCTGAAAGTGGAGGACCTGGACACCTAGTTGGGCTTTACACCATTTGAATATCATTCTGGCACACAACCCTTTCCCAATTGGTGAGACTGAGTTTTTGGCCAGGTTAGCCATTTCATGGTACATTCTTGGATAAGCCACCATTGTATTGCCCAAAGACAGAAACACATTATCAGTGAAAACATTTCTCTAAAGCAGTTTCAGCACTTACCTTATGAATTTTTATGGTCTTTATCTTGCCAGTATGTCTGACATGAGGTCCTCTGCATAAATCTATCAAGGGACCACACCTAGGAATAGGGAAACATTAATTTGGTATATTTCACCCTAGAAAGATATATCAAGTAATATTATGATGCATGCATAATTACCTGTATACTGTTGTAGTTGGAGTATTGACCTTCTCATTCAGGATGCGACACTTGAATTTATTATACTGAGAAGAAAAGCAGTACACAGGTTTGTTAACTCCTTGTTAATCAAGAGAACTGGCCAGCAGTTTAAATTATTTGCAAACCTGATGCTATGCTGCCTTAAAGAGGATTATAAAAGACAAAGATAGTCAAGTACGGCATTCGGTTTTGGGCCCCTTGCTACAAGACAGACATTGAGGTGCTGGAGCATGTCCAAAGAACGAGGCTGGTGAAGGGTCTAGAGCACAAGTCTGATGAGGAGTGGCTGAGGTAACTGGGGTTGGTTAGCCTGGAGAAAAGGAGGCTGAGGGGAGACCTTATTGCTCTCTGCAACTACCTAAAAGGAGGCTGTAGCCAGGCGGGGTTTGGTCTCAAGTAGCAAGCGATAGGACAAGAGGAAATGGCCTCAAGTTGTGCCAGGGGAGGATACTGGGAAAAATTTCTTCACCAAAAGGGTTGTCAAGCACTGGAACAGGCTGCCCGGGGAAGTGCTGGAGTCACCGTCCCTGGACGTATTTAAAACATGTGTAGATGTGGTGTTTAAGGACATGGTTTAGTGGCTGGACTTGGCGGTGGTAGGTTAATGAAGGTCTTTTCCAGTGTAAACAATTCTATCATTCTAGAAGTAGATGAGCAAGCTACCCAGAGAGCAGGTTGTGCAGTCTCTGCCCTTAAGAGGTTTTGAAGGTGCAACTGGACAAGGCCTCACAAACCTGTTCTGACTTCAGTTTTGACCCCATGCCCTCTGCATGAGATTGGACTGGAGACCTCTAGAGGTATCTTCCAACCTGAATGACACTATAATTCTCCTGATGTCTTAAGAATGAAAAATGAGTAACGTCTATCTCAGGAATACCAGAAAATTATTTGCAGCTAGGTACCAAAGAGAAAGGATTAGCTTTTAGTGTTGCTTGGACGTTCTCAGAAGTCCTCATTCTAAAAAATGTTTCATTAAGCTTTCTGAATGTATCAGCACATGCAGTTATAGTATCACCATGGCATTTTACTAACAGCCAGTATAATACAGGCATATAACATTAACTGCACATAATATATTGCAAATTAACACCTGTGGGAAATAAACGAAGAATGTGTCTTCAAGGATTTTGCAAAGGTCACCCAGGGGAAGAATGAGAATTCTTACAGTTGCAGAAAATCTAACACACATTCCCGAGAACCTTACAGTTCCATGAATTACACCTTTGCTCATTTTTTTCATTAAATATCACAAAGGAGCTTGTAAGAACATGATCACCTTAAAAAGTTAATTTGATAGACCTTCCACTACCACTAACAGAACATGTGGCTAAAGTTACAAGTAGTTAAATAACTACACTATGCTAGAAACAACCTTCTAAAACAGCTTACCTTAAACATTTCAAGTAGCGTTTCCTTCTTAACTTCCAGTCTTTCAAAGACTTGTTTTTCCTTCATTATCTTTTTGCATAATGTTTCCAAAGCAGAGAAGTCATTACTTGATACACCCCTAAAATAAACACACATAAAAAAAAGCGAATCATTCTCCATTTCGCTTACAATTTTTGATCCAGTTGCAATGCACTAGCTTGTGGATGGGACACACTGCAAAGAACGAAGCAGTCTGCAGTAATGCAGATGTCTTTGTTCTAGGAACAAGCAGGTAACGGAAATTTTGCCATGACTGCCGTCCCCCCATTCCTAAAAAAAGAAATACAAAACCTACCCTTCCTCAAGGAACATGTCATAATAAAATCCATTTTCTATTGGTGGGCCATAGCACAAACAGCCACCATAGATTCGCTCCATAGCTTCACCCATTATGTGAGCACTTGAGTGCCAGTATACCTAATGGAAGTAAAAAAAAAAAGAGGGGAATCGGTCTGAATACACACAATATATTTCTGAGTATTTTACACAAAATCTTTTCCGAAAGGCTTGCTTTTAAGGATACTTGATGCACACCCCACATTACAGCAGTCTGTGGAACAGAAGTGACCTGCCCAACAACGGTCTTATCCTAAGCACCAATATTTCCAAAAGGTAACACTATAAAATTGTTTACAACTATTGTTGAAATGATTTAATTGTCAAGAAGTCAGGAAACTAATTCAGGAACTTTTTTTCTATGAACTTCAATCAATCAGCTCTGCGCAAAGACCAAAAGGAACGCTTTCAACATAAGGCTGTAGTCCTAATCTGAAGATTTTATGCATAGGAAATCCTGCACTGATGTAGAACAGTTCATAAAGTTAAAAATTACACTCCATCTTGCAGTACACCTGAAGTTTTGACAAATTAAAACCAAATCTATAGGACTTCAGTCTACCTTTATTTGCACAGACCAGAAAACATAAATCTCACATAAATCTCTTTTTCCTTCAAGCCAATATGAAAACTCTAAGTTTGAATGCAAGACCTCAGTGATGAGTTTGACTGACAGCTTCTAGAATCAAATGATTTTTTACTAAAGAGAGTATTTACAAATTTACTGGGTATCCACATTTATCTGAATGAGCAGCCAAAATAAAGTACATACTTTTGCATGTACAAAGTAAAAGAGCAGCCTACTCAGTACTTTTATGATTGTACATAGACAGTATTTTTGTACTCAGTATTGTTTTCAAAGTCAGTGCTGAAGATGTCAGTTCAAAAGACCTACTCTACATTAACATGAACATTGCAAATACAAAATTTTAACGAGAACAGACTTGACAAACTACAACAACGGCTAGCAGACGTGGCTACAAATACACAGCAGAATGTACATGATCTGCAATAATGCATCTCCCTTGTAAAGAACTATTAGAAAATGCAGATGTATCTACACAGCAAACCTGTTCCCATCTTCTCATCTTTTGAACATGGTAAAGATGCAAATAACTACTCAAGGCTGAGTTTAATGCAAATCCAAGGGCAAACAAATATTGGTGGAAGATACTCACTGCTTGAGCCTCTTCATCTTCAAACTTAAGCAGCTCCAGGGTACAATCCTCCTCCAAAGGACGGTCTAGATCCCAAACCATCTTGTTCACTTTAGCAATAACAGTGTTGTCAGCTAAGCCCTGACTACAGAATAAATACACGGGATATAATCTTTTGAAATCAGCAAGAAGAAGTTCCCCAAATTTGCCCTCATGTTGAGTAAGATTTTCAGGAGCGCTCAGAGTGGGTACAATGTCATACATAAATTCCAAATAAAAAGAGTAGTTTAGCCAGTCTTGAACATTCATGAAAATCCTACTCACATCTCAGAGATGTGGAAAGAAAATGGTGCTGTACACTCAACATTCATACATTCATTAACCTATTTGACTTAGAGGCAGCCACCTCAAACTACTAACCTGACTTCAAAATCCTATTGCAATAAAAGAGCTTCTCTTTTAAAACCTATCAAATACCATTTCTGACCCTTTCCTTGATCCCAGATCACAAAAGCAAAGAAGGTTCAAATGACAAGGCACGTAAGCATGAAAAAAATTGGCATTTCATCCCTAGGAATCTCCCAGTTTTTGTAATTTTAACTGTTAGGGTGTCCAGTGTGCATTGTTCCAATCTACTCCACAGCAAGTTTGAGTGACTAGAGATGTGCAATTCTCTTTTTTGACGAGTATCTCATATGTGAGTAAAAATGCAGTTAAGTGAAAGACACTCAGTTAACTCCTTGTGACATCAATTCAATTGAAACATCACCCAGCAGTCATCTTCCTGAGGTTGATGCAAGCTAGTTTGCATGTGCTAACATCTGATAGAGTAAATTCATTTGCATTAAGAACTAATTTGCTACAACAGTACTTGGGGAAAAATAGTCGAGTAATGTGTGTCTAAAAAAATCTCAATTACATTCTTATTTAATTTTAGAAACTGTATCTTCTTAAGACAAAAAATGAAACTCCAAAACTAGAACCCTACTGGTTACCTCCAGTTTATTCTATGTAAGATGCCTTGAGAAGAGTTGAGATAAATGACTAAGAGAGAAATTATACTTTAGCCACACCCCACAGCTACAACCTGCATACACAGAGCTGTCTGAAAATGACTGAGTGTATCACAGAATAGAATCATACCTAATTCCACAAGCGATTTGATAAGGAGTAGTCTTCCAGGATTCAGCATCAACCTGCTTGCCATCGGGTAATGTAACTTTAATGGGTTTACTGTCATTTGCAGCTCTTTCTGCAAGGAGCGCATCATGTTCAGCTTTAAGTTTATTGTACATCTCTAAACGCTCATTGATAAATGCAGGCCAGGGATTCAGCTATATATAATGAATAAAGAGAAAGGAAAAAAATCAATAGATTATTAGAGTTATCTAATATCACATTATGTCAAGAATGCAAACAGAATGGACATACTTTTCACAGTTATGTGACCATATCTATATATATGTGCTATATATAACAACTAATTATTATTATTAGATTAATTATATAGTGTTATAAGACTTCAGCTTAATGAAAATTACTTTGAAATGTACCACTGTACATCCGTTTAGTAAACCACATGTATGTTAATAAACTATTCTGGTTTATTAAACACCTGTTTAATAAGCTACACAAGGACAAAAATAAATTTGAAAATACTGTATAAGTTAAACATAAAAATAGATTTTTATTCTTAGGTCAAAAAACCAAGGGAACACCTGCACCCTGAGCCACCCAGACAAGAACTGACTCCAGACCACACGTCATATAATGACATCAGCGTTATTAGCCTAGGCATAACCAAGGTTATTAAGTTACACAGATGGCTCAGGATAGTGCTGGGTAGCAGCTGACCCTCTCTGTGCAGTCAGAGGGATCTGTGCTTACCCGCCATGAAGACAAAAGACAGAGCACCTTAGACAGGTTTTCTTCATCCCAGAGATCTCCTGCCTACCTCCTGGTGCAAACAGAGGCACAGTGAAAAGAGCAACTATGGAAATCAGAGTAGTTCTCCCATTACACCAATATAACTTGGTGTAAAAAGCAACAAAGTCACCTCATGGCAAACTTTAGCAAAATAAGAAATACTGGGAAAAAGAGTAACTGTAACACCAGATAAAATACTTCAGAGGGATGAATTGCAGCAGTACACAAGTACACAAGACAGCAACCAGGAGACAGCAGCTTTCAACCCCCTACGGCAGCTCACCTCCGTCCGCCCTCCATCGCCGGCCTCTTCCTTCATTTTCTTCTTTCCGCAGTCTGCCTTTTTTTCTTCTCCAGCATTTACCTGAGGAGGGAGAGTTCCATTTCCTCATTCTCCTGCAGTAGCTCACACCTACAGCGCTTTACCCCCTCCTCGGCCCCACACAACGGGGGCGAGCCTGTTTCGGTCCGGGAAACTCGACCCCAGCTCCGTGCTTTCACCTTCGGTAATTCCCACCACCTTTCGACCCTGCTCCCCCGAAGCTGGGGAAACCCCCGGCGACATGCTATAAGGGTGAGAGGGAACAGGCCCAGCTCCCTCCTACCATCAGCACCCGTCCTCCTG